GTAGAGGAACCAAGATCGAGAAAGACACATACCACCCATAGGGGTGAGAGGAGGGGGACAGGGAGAGGGGGAGAGAGAGAGAGAATGAATGGATATATAATGGATCATTTCACATCCCATGATAACAACCAAGCCTGATATTTTCCAGATACACTGTTGTAAGTAATATTCCAAATGTTTTAATATTTAGCATAAATATTTAGGTGATAGCATCTGGTGTTTTCACAACTTTACCACAGCGGGCCATTGTTCGTGATAAGTGATTGCTACTCATATATGCTACCTCTTTTTAAACAGTATTTCACAAGTATTTGTCATATCAGTGTTTGACAACATTAAGACAGGTGATGTAAATAGTATTTTATATCTGGTAATATATTTTTCTCTCTGCACTGAGAACAGCATTTTTAACAGAGCTTTTGGGGACTGAATACTGACAAATGTATTCTAATTATCTGAACAGCTTCTTTCATTCTGAAACATTTTATGGATGTGTTAGCTCAAACTACAGTAGCTACACTTTCAGATCTCAAGACAAACAAGTAGAGAAGGGGAAAAAAGGATAAAAGAAAAAATCTATCTGTTAATATAGTAACCTTTATCACAGGAAGTCTTTTGGGCGTTGTGTGTATATATCTATATTTTAAACCCAGTAAGTGTTATCACTGGACAAGATCCAATGCATTTGATGTATTAAAATGTTTAATTAAAGAAAATAAGTCGTTGTGGTGATGTATCTTATGGCTAAACTTCATTGTAGTAGTAAATCTGAATGTAGGCCTTATCACATGCCAAGAAGAAGACAAGATAAGGACTAATCTCTCTAGTATGCTGATTTTCTATATTCAAGGAATCCTTTGTGGAAAAGCAATCCCCAAAAGACTTGCAAATGGTCCTCTCTCTATATGGGTTTATCATCTCAGTATCAACTACTTGTTAATACATTTGTAGCATAATAGGAATATTCCTTATTTCAAATAAATATTTTTCCCCATTGCCAATTCACTGGGGACAAGTAATATTAGATTTCTTGAATTATTAAGACCTTAAAGTTTTTATGGGCAATAAGAAAGCAGGTTGAAGAGGAATTAGCTGTGTCTAAGAAGATGTTGTTTGAATATTCACCTTTCACTGCATAATAAGGAAGCACTAAAGCTCTAAAGTTGTCAGAAAAGGACCACAATGCTGAGAGAGATTCCAGGGAAGACAGTGGAAACCTATAAGACCACAATGAAGCCTGGAAATTTGAAGGAACCAATTTATCTTCAGTTCAAATCCAGTAAGTTCTCCTAGGACTTTAGAAATGACAAGCTCTGAACTGGAGACTTAATACCTATTGAGTGGGACAAGGTTACTTTTCCCAGAATCCTGTTTATGGGGGGATATTCAACAGTTCCTTTGGTACCCTCCAAACTCCCTGACCCATCAATGTTTTTGTTTTGTTTCTGAACATGCCTACCATAGCAGCCTTACTGCCCACAACATGCTTGCTTTCAAAATATCTACCCACCAAAATGATTTGTTATGCTTGCCCTACAGAATCTGCACAGAATCTTTATGAAGTGGCCTATAAAACAAACCCTTCACTTCCTGAACTAATATCTGAATCTTAGGATCATGAATTAGTTTCAACATTGTGTCAAATTCCAATAAAATTTAATAAAATTGTTGCAGATACAACAAATTAAAAAGTGCTGAATATAGGCACATTTGCCTCTTTTCCTCCAGATAGTCATATAATACTATTGTTTTGTTTTAAATTTTCATGTAAAACTACTCATGCCTCTTGAAAGCAATTCACTATATTGGGGATGTTTTGAGCAGCTAACTTAAAAACTTAAAAACAGCATGACTATTTCCAATATCTTCAAAACTATATAGGTGTTACCAAGATAAAGCCAATATTTTAAATTGGCACAAACAGGCATTTCTAATTTGATCCTCAGTAACATAATTTGTTTCTACTTGCAATAAGATCATACAAGAAAATGTATATGACAATTTCATTATATCACATGTATCTTGCGATATATACATCACATATATATTTTCCCAAAATCAACTGTGTTATTCAAGGCAGAGGTATCTAATGGTTAACCATATGCAATATCTTTTCTTGTAAAACATTGAACAGGAAGCAGATGATAACAGATAAATACGTATCGCTACCACGAATGTCACCTCCATGCTGTGTCTGATATTAAACTACAGCTGTTCCACCACTGCAAGGTAAGCTGTTATCTGCTTCAGACTTATATTTAAAATCTACACATATAGGAAAACAAACTAGAGAAATCACCATCTTTTTAAAGAATGACTTTGAAAAGTTTATATACTTCTTTAAATATGTTGTATTTTAAAAAGCAGATTGCTTTTATTTTTTTTTATTAGTTCCACATTCTTTAATCTCCCTTTTCATACCCATTTATACAACTTTTGAATAACTGGTTCATTTTCTTTTCCAAGAATATTTGCTATAAAAATGCATCATTACTGTAGTATTTCTATTTGCAAAGTGGGAACAAACAAATCCAGGTATTATCATCAAAGGATGCAATCAATCATCAGTTAGCTCCAGCTTCCTATGGTTATTATGCATATTCAACTTAAGAATTTTATTTGTTGTTTTTTTAAAGTATTTTTAAAGTATTTGGTAAGTTTTATTTTGATTAAGCACTCTACAAAAGTAGTTTGAAAACAGAGATGCAAAAGGATAAAGTGTAATTAAAAGGTACATTGTAAAAAGGAGTATTCAGTAGTCCATTCTCCCCCTTTCATTTCCCCCCAACCACTATTACTTATTTATACTTTGTTTTAAATTTTTACAGTTGTTGTTTATATCTATGTAAGCCATTTTTTTCAGTTGTTTTTTAACCACCCTGAAAATCCCTTCTGGATGACTACTTATGCTCTTTTGTGCCTTTTACTGATGTATAGCAGGCACAATTATTGTGCACTTACACATATCTGATTAGCTGTATGATCTCACACCTTCATTCAGGATCAATATAGTAGAAACATATTTCACAATGAAGGTTCAGATCATATCTCAGGTTGATGATTGGTGATTCCCATATGAAATTAAATTTTACCTATGATTATAGCTGTAAGACATAGATGGAAAATAAGGGTTTGCAGATATAATTGTGACCTTTTTACCCATAAAATGTTTATCTCATGGGATAATTCCTGTTTAAAAATAGTGAATAAATCTATTTTCTAGGCAAACTGGGCCTCCAGGATATTAGCATTTTGGATCAATTCAATTCTGAAGAAACTGCTTTTAAAACTTCTATAGAATTAAACAAAAAAAATGATTTATATTAGGCAGCTTCTTGGCAGTTTTTTCAACTTAGATACTTGTTATTTGGACTCTTTGGTTCTGATGCCATTATTGGTTCTGAAGTTCTATTGTGGTTGGAGATTTTAGGGAATTAAATTGAGATTTATAAACCAGTAAATCATGTTTTAGGAAGTTCAAAGAACTGATGAAGCTGACTTTATGTTACCTCTGAAAACAGCTTATCAAGATGGTGGAAGGCTGTCTTTCAAAGTGTGCAATTAATTTCCTTTGATCTTAATGGTAAAAATGTTTTGTATATATTGGACACATCAGAGAATGTTTAATAAGAGTTGGCTGCTATCGCCTTATTGTTGAAGTGCAATTTAGAAACTGGAACTTTAACTCAAAAGATTTGAACTTATCTCCCTATTGTCACATTTGGGGCTGAAATCAATAGGGTTGTTAATCTGACCTGGATCAATCTTCTTGGCTACTTTTCCTATATGTGAAACTTATCAAGTCAACAAGAATTGTGGACTTTTTAGGCTCAGGGCAGAATGTTATATAATACTGGAAGAAGAAATTTGCACCTGATCTGCAGCAATGGGTTGTTCATATATGTTGGTTGTCAACAAGTGAATTCTTTGTTTTTGTTTTTTTAATAGAGGAGAAAGAAAGAAGACTTCTGAATAGTTTCATCTTGGAGGAGGGAGGTAGTTTTATGATGTAATCTTCCAAGCTTTCCTCTCTTTTTCTTCATAAAGATTAATTTCAGTGTTGCCTTACATTGTTAATACTAATAACAATAAGCGTATTTTTGTTGTAAGTTAGTCTGATGCACTCTCAAACTAAAGAAATTAAAGTGACAAACTGAAGCAGCCTTCCTCAATCTGTGTCTAGACTACAACTGCCAATCACTCCCCACGCTGCCCTCTCCAAGCTGGTGGATCTTGATAGAAACACCTCCCAATAACAAAGACGAAAGATTGAACTGTAGACTTATCAAGTGAAACCATTTTCCAATGTATGTGCTTACAGGTATTAAAGAAGGGAAGGAACGCAAACATGGAAGAAGATGATGATTACTATGCATACCTTAGCAACAACACTTATAATGAAAACTACTCACATGAAACCTTTTTGGGGTTCCAGCGAGTTTTCCTTCTCTGCATGTATTCATTTGCCTGCATCTTTGGAGTGGCAGGAAATTCTCTGGTTATCATAATTCTAGTTTTCTACAAAAATGTGGAGACGGTTACAGACACATTTTTAGTGAGCCTGGCTATTGCTGATTTGAGCTTTCTTTGTACGCTGCCCTTCTGGGCTTATTCTGCTGCAAAAGAGTGGATCTTTTACACTCTGCCATGTCAAATTATCCTAGGACTTTACACCTTGAATCTGTACGGTTCCATGTTAACTCTCACTTCTATAACGATTGACAGATATTTTGTAATTGTCCAAGCAACCAAAACTCATATCAGTCAACGCAAAAGAAGGTTCTGGGGTATTGTAGCCTGTATTTTGACTTGGGTGATCTCTCTGGTGCTTGCTTTGCCACAGTTCATCTTCAGTACAGAGAAAAAATTAGACAAAAAGATATGTTTTGCAAATTATTCTTCACGGTTTATGGCGCTGTTCACAGAAACAACTCAGATGACACTTGGATTCTTCTGCCCCATGCTTATCATGCTTATATGTTATTCAATTATTGTAAAAACTTTACTCAGTGCTAAGGGCTTCCACAAGCACAAATCCTTGCAAATAATATTTGCTATTGTTGTAACTTTCATTTTGACGCAGATGCCTTATAACCTTTTGAAACTCATTCGTGCCTCAGATCGTTCTATCATACTGAATTACAGGTTTGACTACGCTTTGATCATAACAGAAGCAATTGCTTATTTCCATGGTTGCCTCAACCCAGTTCTCTATGTCTTTATTGGTGTGAAGTTTAGAAAGAATTTGGCAAAAATTCTAAAAAATAATTGTTGTGTTAAATGCCAAGTTACAAAACAATGGCATACAACTGATGAAAATGGCTCCAAAAGTGGAACTGCCACATATAATGCAGAGGAAACCAGCATGGTTCCCTTATAAGAGACCTAGGACATTTACTCAGGAATGACTTTAGACTGATTTTAGCCCTAGTTGCCCTGAGCACTCATGAAAACAAGCAGTATGAATTGCATTTTTCTCAATATAGCTATCATGACTGTAAACCTTGTAGTTTTCTGGCAAAGAAAATGGACAGAATCTCACTGCAGTACTAATTTCTTATGCTATAGGCTTCATCTGAAAAAAAGGCAAAATTAAAATGTCTTAAATTATGTAGCAGTTTTAGAACAAATTCTGAAAAGCTTACGCTAAATCCTGGCATCTTTTACTTGTAATCAATCACTGATCATGAAAATGCACTGCCAGGAATTAAGAGTAGATTGAAGAAGCCACCAATGTTTTAGCCTGCCTTTGCTTGCAATAAGTACCTTTTCACATTAAATACTGATATTTCTGTACAGCCTAAAGCACAGAATAAAGATAATGCAAGTATTTGTTTTTGTTCTGCCTTTCACAATGAAATATGCTTTACACTGACTACAATATTACTGTAGCCTATATAGATTTTCTGCTCCTGCCGGTAATAGATTTATGAGATATTGAGTAAAAGAACTTTCATAGACTTTGTCCCCTGATTTAAAATTGGTTGTGTGGTGCCTAATTCAATTACAGAATGTTGGCTAGTTATAATATATACACCAGTTGTTGTTATTATGTAAAATAAACTCAAGTCAATGACTAAACAGATGCTTGGAGTCTGCTGAAATTACTCTAAATTCTGTTTTCCCATCTGCAGATGGAGGAGAGGGGAGGGAAAGAAATGCTCAAGGCTAGCCATTGATTCAGACACTTTTGTTAACACCAAAACACTAAGTCTTCAAGCTACATTATGCCTGAGTTCATATATTACTTTTCATGGAATCCCCACATCCGTGGAGTTCACCGTTGCCTTCTCTTTCCACAGAAGCCAGGATATGCAACAACCAGATTCATACATTCACTCTCCTACCATTTATTGGGAACGGAAAAGTTGAGTGCCTGCCCGCATTACAAATTCTTTTATTCTGTGAGGAAAGTGTTACCCATAAGGAAGACTACAGACATGAAATCAATGAAAGGTTATACATTAATCATAAGGGGAAAAAAAGTGAAATCATAAATACAGACAACCTGGAACCTTCTGAACTGGATTTGCAGAATTCTCCAGCTACAATAGCCAAAGAACTGAAAAACCTCGCCAAGAAAACTGCAAGACCTTCTCCAGGCAGTCTCTGAGAATTGGACATGACTTAACATATAAAAAAAAGTTAACAATTTAGAGATATAAGCAAGATTATTTCAAGCTAAATAATAATAATAATAATAATAATTTGCACATGCTAAATATCTCATTTGAGAAGGGCAAGATGGCCCATTTAGTTTTATCTTTGTGTATGTGTGTGTGTGCCTTTGAGTCAGTGTTGACTCCTGGCAACTGCCTGGAGAAGTCCCTGCAGTTTTCTTGACAAGATTTCAGAAGTGGTTTGCCATTGCCTGCTTCTTAGGGCTAAGAGAGAGTGACTGGCCCAAGGTCACCCAGCCAGCTTCATGCCTAAGGAGGGACTAGAACTCATGTCTCCCAGTTTCTAGCCTGATACCTTAACCACTACACCAAACAGGCTCTGAGTTTAGCTAAGTATTTATTTATTTATTAGGTTTATGACCCACCTCCAAGTTCAAGGCAGCATGGACAGCACTCCATCCTCCATCCTCCAATTTCCTCCATAAGCCTGTGAGGTAGACTGAACTGAGAGAAATGGACTGGCTCAAAGTTACCCAGTGAGCTTACAAAGTTGAGGGTAGACTTGAACTTGGCTTTCCTAGGCCTACTCCAACAACTTAACCACTATACTGCACATTTACTTACTTCAAACCTTGCAGCAGAACTAGATCTTCTGTCATAATGTGGAACCATTCTCATAACTTTTTTAGATCAGGGCTATCAATTTTTCATGACTGAGGATCATATTTTTCTTCTACTATTTATTTTTGGCAGCCAAGGGCTTCAATAGGCAGGACAATGATGAAATGACCTCACCAGAAAAGGCTGAACTGAGCTTTTGTTATTTTTGTTGGGAGAGGGGAGGGAAGAGTCCCTCTTCCTCCACTTTTAAACCTATCCAATATTTACCTCACATAGAGAAGTCACCAGAAGATGCACTGTCAGTTTTTCGTGGTTTGGTGCTGGGGTGTGAGTCCAGAAAGAACACACTGCACACTCTGCCTGTTTTGACAGAATGTATACATTTAAAACCCCCATATTTACCTGAAAAGAAGACCATTCTGAATTTGAGGTGATTCCCTTTCCAAGGGAAGATAAAACAGCCAAAGCAGTCTCCATCTGTCTCTATTGCTATGTTCCCAATGAATCTACAATGATCCTTTGATTTTTGAAGGTGAAAGAAATAGTTTTCCTTTCCAGTAAATACATGCACATCCTTTTGCTGCTAATCAGTGGTATTCTCAGCCATTTTTTAAAATTATGTTTACTCACAGATCGGGCACACTACGGTCCAGAGATTCTTCTTCAGTTTGGCTTTTGTTGTGAACAGAGTCACTTTCCTGTATTTGGCCCACTTCCTCATCTGTTATTATATCAAACACTGCATCATCTGTGGATTTAGAGGCTTCATTTGTAACTGTGCCAGAAGGAAAAGATACAAAGAACATTACTTGTATGGCAGGGAGACTTCATTTTGGGGGCAGTGTTTGTAGACTTAGGCTGCCAGAAAGGACATTAAATAAATTGCACTGATGTTTCACCAACAGACATTTCTCATGTACTCCAAAAAGTCACCATTAAATGCAGAATGACAATCTCCAAGATGTTTAAACAAGGTGGTCATTTCTAATAGCATACCCATCCATTTCTGCCTAATCCACATAATATTCCATAAATATTGTTTCCATAAAACCTGTTTCCTGAGTTGAAAGAGAACCCATTGGTTTGCTGGATTTTGAGTGCCCCACTTCTCTTCAGCATATCTTCTGCTAAGATTTTAATACCTACAAGGCCACTTGAACATGAATGAAGCATGCATTTGAAAGAAAATCCAGAAACTCTAGGTGCTCTTTTGCACATGTTTCCATCACAGTGAAAATATAACACTGCACTACTGCAGGAAATGATGGGACAGCAAAGAAAATAGGTCGCTCATTCTGAATGTCATCATCCCAGTTTCACATGCAAGTAATATCTTTATTTCTAATTTTCTTATCTAAGGTTCTCTAATTAGGAAACATATCCTGGGTTATTTAACAAACTGAGCAAAAAATAATGCAATATCCAATCTGAAGTTTTTGTAAATCTACAGTTTATTTTAAAGAATATGTTGAAGCTCACCCAAAATTTTATGGACCAGGGACAATGGTGAGGCCAGCAGATTTGATGATGATTCTTCTGGAGTAATATTTAATTCAGAATCAACAGGATCACTCAGTTTTTTAAAACAAGCTCGACAGCAGCGTTCTTTCTTCCCAGTTTGCTTTGAAAAGGCATAGTTGTTGCAGCAGTAATAGCAGAAAATGCGTCCACACATTCTTAAAAAACAAAGTAAAAATATACTTAAAATTAAGGCATTTATGGGACACAATATTCTACACAGAAAAAACTCATTTCTTAATGGTACTGCACTGGATCTCCTTGAAATAATTAGAAATATTAAAATTATATCTGAAAAGAGTAATATTTTATTTCATTGTCCAAATAATAACAGCTACCAGAAATTATTCTTAACAGGTCAATCTTCTTTTCTTTCTTTCACTCTATACTTTTATTGAGAAACTATATGTATTACTGCACTATATTCAGGATGCAAGTTGATGGGGCAGATTTAAGCAGTTAAAGCCTTTTTAGTTGATTAATGGTATTGCCTTGAACCTCCTCTTCAGTTCACCCATTAAAAGATGACATCATGCTACACAAGTGATTTCTTAATAACTAGCCTGATATTTATGCATAAATTCATCAAAATCTGGGCTAATCTCATTCTTTCCCCATAAAGAAAGGGCAAAAATTTTACTTCTGAGCAATACATGTCAGCCCTTCTCTCTCTCTCTATTCCTGCCTCCCTTCTCACACCTGCTATTATATAAACTACTGTAGTTTTATAAACCATAAAAATAAAATAAAAAATTAAAGACCAGTATTGTTCTAGGAATGCAGGACCTGAGAGTTTGTATTAGAAACTTGCTAGTTTTTAACCAATAGTTAATACTGTCATTTAATAACTGAACAGGACTGACTTTGGGAATTCTATTTACAAAAATACATACAGGCTAGCTAGCAACAGCAAGATCTGCTACAACTCTCTGCAAAGATATTACTTGCATGGACATTGGTAGAGGGGTAATGGGAGCAAATGATGAAACATGCATGAAAACATCATCACATAAATGTAGTGGCTTATATATTTGTACCAGTCATCAGGATGCAAGGATCTAACAGCAGCGTTTCTGAATGACATCGTCCATGTTATCATTTTGGTATCATGATTTGCTGTGGACTCCACTGATTACCTAGACAACCTCCATAACTGTTCCAGCACTTCTTTCATTGGTTAAATACATATAAAACACAGTTTCTCTAAATCTAGAACAATCATGGAACAACTGTCAGCCCATTACAACAATTAGGAAGACCACACAATGTCTCAGGTAACATGTACATAAGCCTAATATACAATATTCAGAACCACAAACCTTTGACAGGTAATCATCCATTTTGCATGAAATATCCAAAGCTGGCCTCTGAGGCAGCCTATCTTCCATTAACTGTTCCAGTATGATCAATTACTAGGTTCAAAGTAAAGCAACATTTCTGAAGATTATAGAGTATAATAGATGGACTTCTTCCCACATTAGACCTCCTCTTCATTTTATGGAACACTTCTTAGTAATAGCTTACTAAAATAATCATAACATTTTTTTTGGTATGAATTGGAGATGGCATGGATGCAAACTGCACTTCTGACCCTGAGTAGGAGACCACCCCAAGTATCCAGCTCTTCAGACAAATTATGGTGCTTTATCCTAGGATCAATCAACATGGTATACAGAGGCCTTCAGGTTTAATGACACTGACATCCATGGGAGTGGAGGTGGAAGGTTAAAAAAGGCAGTACAGAGATCATGGCAGCACAACTGAAGTCTCCACCCATTTGTATGTGACATGACATTAACACACATACCAAAGGGTGAGAGTTTGATCATGCTGCTGTGATTGCAATTTTGCCTTTTTAGATATCACCTCACCCCCACAAAATGCCAATGTATGAGAATCTATTAGGATTAGATCAGAATCCATCAGAATTGCTATGATCTGCACTGTGAGGTGGCCTTCCAACCTTCCTGATCCACATTCTGATTTTGCTAGAATAGTGGCAGAAATGAATTTGAAGGTGAGAAGAATCAGATGAAGTTTTGTTACAGTAAATCAGACAATTAGTTCATTTCACTTAACATGGTCAGACTTTATAGTGACTCAAGTTCTAGACATGGGTGTTTCCAATGCTAGATACATATTTTAGAACAGAAAATGAGAACTTCTGAATGCAAAGTATGTGCTGTTCCTTCAGTCATGCCTCCTCCCTGAATACTCATTATGAAAACCACAATTGTTTTACCCTATCACATACTATAGGGAGGTTTTGATAGTGTATGCGTCATTCTTAGCTATACTATATGTACACTGTGAGCAAAGATCCTACCATGTAGCATAAATGAAACATGAACACCTGAACTTAACAGCATACTTCTGTCCTACAACTTCCTGGAACTGAAACTCCAAATATCTTCTGAATACTACTTTTGTTGGAACTGGGGGCAAACCCAAATTTGTATATGACACATATTATAGAAATAGACCTAGGAAAATTTGCTGACTGTTTAACATTTGACCAGTCCTCACTGCTCATGTTTGTTCAGTCCCCTCGACATACTGACCTGCAATGATGTCGGCGATTCATCCAGCCAAATTCTTTTTGACAGTCTAAGCAACTGGTGACTTCTGCATCACCAAGCCATCTTTGCTCTGCTGTGAGCTTCTGCTGGAATTCCAGAGCATCTGATTTCTGCCAAAGAGCATCCTTGTCCCTTTCAAAGGCATGTATGGGAGAATAATTTATCATTTGATCATTTATGCTTTAAAATCTTAAGCCTGGCCCACTATAGCAAAATTCACCTTCTCTATTAAGGACAGTTGGATAAATCTGAAGTTGGTTGAATTCCTGAGAGGCTACCTTGCTTTTTTACTGCCTATAATATATGAAAAGTTCTGCTAAGAAGCAGTACATGCTGATCTTAGTTGGTTTTAAAAACATAAGCAGATTCAAAGCTGGTTAGTACTTGGATTAAACTACCAGGAACTATGAGGGCAGCAGGTTAGCCTGAGAAATTGGAAAACACTCTGTAAAACTGCAGTGGGAAACTATTTCCATATTGTTACTAAAGCAAACTATATGGGTGTGTCCATGAAATCACCAAAAGTCCAGCTTGACTTGAGGAAGACTTTACTTTCTAGCATATGAGAAATGTAAGAATGAGTAAGACTACATGGACATGCATATATACACATGCATACCTTCATATCAACAAAGAAACAAAAACAGAATTCTGTCTTATTAGGGAACAAGGTACACATTGGTACCCATTGCTCATTCATTCCTCTTTGGTTTCTTCTCTTAGCAGAAGCAGATAAATAAACTATGATTCTGCCTGTGGTTAACATTATGTGTGAACTAGGTTCCTGGTTTTGAGCCTCTGTCAACATGCTAAAATCATGAGCCAAGAACAAATTTTGGTTTATATCTTGGGTGACTGGGAGTATAATAAGCCAAGGTTCCCTGTGTGAACATACTGTTAAACCAGTAACAGAGCCCTTGCTGGTTTGCTTAACCAAATTTCCTATGCAATGCCATGACAAACTGATCACCAATTACATGAAGTTTTGGTTGCAGCTACTGCAATTAAAAGTGGTACAATCAGTTATGGAATCTAAGGGGGTAATTACTTTTTCACACTGGCACATTGCACACTAGATGACTCTGTTTACGAACTGAATGAAACCAGCACCAATTTGTGATTATTGGTTAATTCAGATTCCTTTTATATATCAATAGGGCCTACATTAGACTTTGATAATACTGAATGGCAAACATTCAGAAAACCCAAAAGATGGCAAATACTCTTTGCAGAATTTTACATAAAAGAACACAGCTTAAGGAAGAATAAATTTACAAAAATGAACCAGACAACAAGGCTACCAAATACCTAAGGGAGGTAACTTGTTACAGACAAGTGCACAGAATGCACTTAGGCACTTATTTAGATAATTATCAGAGAAAATACACTCTTTTCTCTGCAGCTTTAAATGTCAAGTTATCACTCATAAACCACAGGATTTAACAAACAGTCAAATATATGGTAAAAAAAATGTATCGAAAGTGCAGGGTGTGATGCCACAGCCCAGACAAAGACTACATTGCTTCCAATCAATTACACACGCATAGGAAGAGGATACAAATATTCTTGACTCTGCAAATAAATTCTTCCATTTTAGGTTTAAACAGAAGAATGTATTTGCAGATTCAAGAATATTAATTTCTTCTTGTCAGCAAAGAACAAGTGAGCAAGAGACTATCTAGGCCAAAATAGGTATCTGACCACATCACAAATTGCTGCTGTGTTGAACTTGTGATACAATCAGACTGGTCAGTGCAAAGGGTAAGGTATGGGTTGCCTTATCAATATACCAACAACAAATATTTTCTAGCCCCAGGAGTGTTACTGACATCATACATATTAACCGTGTTCATATTACATATATTAATCTGAGTTTGAGATAAGGTTTAATATTTTTGGATGTTCATATTATTTTGTACTATGTGCCTGCTATATGGAAAATGATGGGCTGGGTAACAGAAATGGATTCCCTTTGCCCTTATTGCTAAGAGACTAATCCTTCAACGCTAGATACATTTATGGCCCTAATTACTTAGGGGATTGAATCCTGATGTTCCCTGCGAATTAAGAACAAGTTAATGTATTGTCGAAGCCTTTCACGGCTGGCATACAATAGCTGGTGTGGGTCTTCCGGGCTGTGTGGCCGTTTTCTGGAAGTTTTGTTTCCTGACATTTTGCCAGCACCTGTGACCGGCATCTTCAGAGTGCAGGAGCACAGACAGGAGCAGTTCTCTCTGTGCCCAGCACAGAGAACAAGTTGCTTATGGAAGTGGATTACAGGTAGTCCTGACTAACTGACCACAATTGGGACCAGCAACTCCACTGCTAAGCAATACGGCCGTAAAGTGAAACATCACATGACTCTGCCGATTTATGACATCAGTTCTGACTGCAGTCATGGAGTGAATCACCCATAGTTGTGATTGTTGAGTTGTCATGTGACCACAACTTGCGACTTCCTGCCAGCTTCCCTATTGACTTTGCTTGTCGGAAGCCAGCTATGAAGGTTGCAAATGGTGATCATGTGACTGCAGGATGCTGTGACTGTTGTAAATGCACGCCGGTTGCCAAGCACCCAAATCACAATCATGTGACTGTGGAGATGTTGTGATGGCCACAACTTCGAGGACCTGTTGTAAATCTCCTTTTTCAGTGCTGCTGTAACTTCAAACACTTGCTGAACGAACGGTTGGTAAGTGAGGACCACCTATATATAACCATGCTTACAATGGAACATGGTCATCCTTTATTCAAACTTTGTACAAAACTTCATGTATACATATGAGAAACTCTTTTTTGTTCTATTGTGGGGTTCCTTTTTTTTCCTCTTTTTATTTGTTCTATTAAATAAAGGAAACCAAAGCAACCTCTCCTCAAACTATTAGGGCGTTGCTGTTACAATAGAACAGCATCCAGATAAGCAGTCTCCATAACCACTTCACCCCCAGATCTCCTCAACTCACCCACACATCCCTAAAACATAAAAACATTGGGAAGATGTTGGAGGAAAATGTGGCATTGCCATATCCCAGTATATGGAATTTGATAGTGAGTTGTGGAGTAAGTTAGGCGATTCGGCTTCTGCAGACCTGGGAAGCAAACACCATTCCTGAGTGGTAACACACTTCCTGGGTAAGGGGGGAGAAACACTGGTCCCTCTAGAATTCCACACACAAAAAAAGCATAGTTAGTGCTGCAGATAAGAACACAGTATGTCCAGAATAAATTCAATTGAAGATTGTAAGATTTACTTTGTGAGGCACTGCACTATAAATATAGCTTTAAATTCTGCAGCAGTAGAATTTAGAGGTGAAAAAAACAACTAGATTTTTCCACTTGGTAGCGAGGTTACCTAAAAATAAATCTACCAACCTAAGAAGTTCAATTAACCGTTCTTCCAGAAACTGCTTTGTTCTAGTTAGGTCATCCAGTTCAGCCAGTAACTTGGCCTCATTGTTGTCTCGGTCTGATTTCATCTCGTTGAATTTACCACAGTAGTCTTGAATTTGCTTATTTGCTCTGCTGACTTCTGTCTGGACCCTGTTCAAAAACACAATCAATTTTCCTTAACTGCTTTTATCATCAGCCTTATCATAATTAACACTACAAACAATACTATTAATCTTCACAGAGCACTAAACACAAAAATGATTCTAGCACTCCTTTATCTTCAAGTATAGGTAAGTCTCTAACTTTTTTCAAAAAAAGTTGTCAAACCATCAACCTGGATATTTATTTCTTAAAAATCAGGTATTGTGAAGCAGCAGACATCTTTAGATTTTACATAAATTTAAAATGCTTATAGAGATCAAAGTACAGACCAAAAAATAAGAATCTGCAAATGATAATAGATTCCAGCCTGAAGAACAGAACTGCCTCACTAAACTGCCCACTTAGAGCAATTTTGCCTAACCTGGTTCTCTGCGGCTATGTTGAATTACAACTTCCAGAGTTCCAGGCAATGCTGGATGGGAATCCTCAGAGTTGCTTTCCAACATATTTGAAACACATTTGAAGTGGGAGAACAATATTTGAAAAACTCTTGTCTTTAAGATGATACATTTCTAGCACCACTCTGAGGCCTCAAGTCATTCTCTTTTCTTCTGCACAGCCAATGTACAATTTTGTGCTCAAAAAGCAAAATCATAGAATATGCAGTGGTGCAATTAGCTAAACTTACATTGGGATGTAATAGACAACCCTCCTATATGAGGTAATGCAAAGGCTGGTTTTAAGTTTGGTGGGCCACAGAGTATCACTTGACACCATATTGGCCTATCTTAATTTTGTTTGCCCTGATTCTGCCTCCCTCCCTTATTCTGCTAAACAGGACCATTCATTTCTGCCACTGTGTCCTGGCCTGACTGTATGCCACTTAATATAACTCTTACAATAGTCATGTATATCCAAATGTTTTGATAAATTGTTTATCTAATCTACAAATGTATTGTATGAATATATTGTATTCACATATAAATATAAGTGTCACTGATTCACTTTTTTTAGATCTCAGGTTTTTCCCCCCCAATGGTGAGGCTGTTTCTGTGTTGCTTTTATAATTCCATGTTAATTTTATTTTTGGGCCTTTTAATTGTTATCAGCAACTACATTAGGAACTATATTTTTGAAGAAAGAGCAGATTAAAAATATTTGCAAACATAACAATTAATACAGTTGTACAATACTATCAACTAAACTAAGATCTTCACATGTATTATATCATTGCCGTTCTTACAACAGCTCTTTAAAACAAGCCTGGCACTTTCATACTGCCACCATTTCCACTCCTCAAAACTATTCTGAAGCTGGTGCTCAGTGGTTTTTATTGCAGCTGACTCTTGAAATGTTGAGACCATTGTGAACTAAGAGGTTACCCCCTGCAGTTAATAGGAGAGTGCAAGATCAGCATTCAATCAGTGTTCTGCCTCCCTTTCACATTTTTAGTTCATGTTATGTGCACTGGTGTAGTGATTCCTCCAGTACTGGATTAGTAGCTATGGAGAGGGAGAGCTTTCAAACTACGGAGGCAAAATTGCTTGCTTGCGTTTTTCAAAACTGTGAAGCAACAGCTCCTCTGCAAGAGGATGCTGGCTGGGGAATTCCAGGAGTTGAAGTCCACCCATCTTAAAGTTGCTAAGGTTGAGGAACCCTGCTCTATGGAGACAGGAGAAGGCATGTTAATTCAAGGAGCTAAGGTGACACAAGAATTCCCACCAAGTGAAAAACAGTTCCCCACAAGCTCTCCAGAGCTTCAGTATAAGCAATTCACAAAGTATGACTTGAGATGTACCATAGCTGACTGGAAATAAATCAGCTAAACTGACAAACACAGAATGTGGAGGTGCAGAAGTGCAAAGACCAAGAGGGGAGCGTCTTCAATATTATTGTCCTCCATGATGCAAATGGTGGGGGCAGGGAAAAAGCCAAGAGCAAAATAATGTAATTTCTCCCAGTCAAGTAGCAAGCTCATGATAAAGAAGCAATGCAAAAACAGAGATTTCCTAGTTTGCAAGTCACTCTTTTAACCCCTGCACCACACTGCTTCCTGAAAAGTCAATGTTAACAGGGGGAAAAAAAATCCTACATTTATTTATATTATTTGTTCATTACATATATTTATATTCCCCCCCAGGCTGAAATCATTTCAGTCAATTTCTAACCTTTTAAGATCTTCTTTAAGTTCTGCAATTTCTTCATCTTTTTTTTGCTGGACTGCTTTGTACTCAGTCACTTGATCCATGGAAAGGTTCAGTTTTGCATACAGGTCTCTTTTCTCAGCCTAGCAAAATGATTTTTTTTTTATTTGCATGGAAATGGAGCTGCATTTAATCTTCTACTTAGAATAAAAACATTTAGTAAGACAGACAATTTAGGGTTTCTATGTGATCATGGTATTAAGGGACCACAGAAAATGCTGCCCAAGTAGATGTTCAGAAAAGCAACAATTTTGATAACATTAAGTTGTATTGATAATTATAAATATTCTGCACCAAAATTCATTGGCATAACAGAACAATTTGATAAATTAACAGGCTACCTAATATGTATACTACCTATCTATGAAAAATTGGGGCTTTGCTTTGGTTTAATATCCACAAGTTTGTTAATACAATTGTGGGAAGAGTAACATAGTTTCAAGATATGGACTACTGCAATGTGTTCTACATGGGGCTGCTACTGAAGACCATCCAGAAACTTTAGTTGGCCCAGGATGCAGCAGCACGGTAGTTATGAGCACATCTCATTATACCCATTAACACTGCTACTCCGTGAGTTGTACTGCTTTCAACAAGCTTCTCAGTGAGATTCAAGGTGCTTTATCACCTTTAAAGTCCTACCTGGCACAGGACTCGGTTACTTGAGGGGCTGCCTTCTCCCAAGAACATCTGCCTGCCCTACATGCTCCCACAGGGAGGGCATGCTCCAGGTTTCTTCTTTTAAATTTTGTCATCTTATGGCACCTAGCAAGCTTTTCTGTGATTGCCCCTGTTCTCTGGAATAGTCCCCCTCCGCAATATACAGCAGGGCCCTCTCTGCTCACCTTTAGGAAAGCCATTAAGGCCTGGCTCTTTCCCCAGGCATTAGGGGCCAGCTGAGTGAGAGTCCCCTTTTGGTTGTTCTCTTTTGTTGCCATTTATATTGTATCTTATGTTTAATGTTTTGTGGTTTGGGGGGGGGGTTGGTTTATTGTTTGTCTTTTATGCTGTATGCTATCCAGAGTCACATTGTTTAAGTTGGGCAGCCTTATAAATCTTGTTAATAAATGAATAAACATGATTTCAAATTATATACCAAACATTTGGAATGCATCATTATATAAAGAACCATAGATTTATTAGCCATGAGGTACAGCAAAAAAGGTTACTCTTGTACAATGGAAAAGCAGTGAGACCCCAGATTCACAGTCTTGAATTAATAATACTTGTTTATTCTCTGCTTATGAACTGGCTGTTTATTAATGTACTGTAATAGTAAGACTGATCAATATTATTCTGTGTGGATGAGGCTTAATGCTGTTTAAAAACTGGCATTTTTACATGATTTTAATATGTATTTTAGAAGTATTTTACATGTACAGTATTCTACATGCATTTTATTTAGATGTATTTACAATATTATAAATTATATATCTTTTTTCTTATCTTTTTTGTCTTTCTTTTCTCTACTCCTTTTCCTTCTGTATATTAAAGCAACAAAAAACCCTTTATCTATATTGTTCAAAAATGGCTGCCAAAATCTAGATCTAAGCATCCAGAGCTCAGTAAACATCATCCATGAGAAGTATACAGATTCTAGGAGGCACATACGTACATAGGCACAATGGAAAACCATGCACTGGAGGATTTTGCATCCTTGCCTCTCTGACTTTCCAAAGTTTAGGTCTCATAATGGCCAGAGGGAAATAGGAAATCAGTTAAAATTTAGAATTAGGTTACACCATGATCTGTTCTCTTAAGGAGGTAACGTACAAAGCTGATGCAACTTAGAGAGTTTTCTTTAGGAAAGCCATAAAACTAGACATAGTATAAAGCATCATACATTTCTGGATTATAATTATGTTCCACCTCCCACCCCAAAATTTCAGAACCAGATCAAACTTCTTTGTTTTTAATCCCTAGAATATATTTGCCATTTACTACTGAATCAAAAATATGTTGTAGGGGAAAGAGAGAGAATACAATGAAACTAATTAACAGAGGTAAATTGCATAATTTGTGCATTTTATGACATTTGTGTAATGACATAAATAATGCAAATGATGTAAAATTAATGTAAATTGAACTGCCTCATCCAGACTATGCTGATGCAGTATCCATAATTTGGGGGGAGATGTCCAGACAGAAATCTGATCCATTTGCATCCTCAATCTGCTAAATGGTGGTGGTGGGGGGGTGTTAGATCAAGATTTCATTGTACTGGTAGGGAGTCTTCCTACTGGATGACCAACAAGCTTCAAATATCAATAATTACTGACTCAATGGTTCTGTGAGTTTCTTGCTTAATTAACTAAAGGACCAACCTGCATCTCCTTGAGTGCTTCTTCTGCAGCATTTGCTTGTCGGCTCTGCTCTTCAAGTTCTTCCTTTAATTTTTCACACTCTTCACTGAGAGCCTGCAAGGGTAAATTTAAAACAAATGAACAAACAAAACAAATATTATTTATTTTTTAAGGATTATGAAGTTTTCTGTTGATTTCAGGGACCAACCAGGGATAGGCTTGCAAATTATCATTTCAAGCGCAACAAACAAAAACTTCTATAATGAGATTTACAGTACAGGTAGTTCTTGCTCAGTGACCACAATTGGGACTGACAACTCTGTCACTAAGCACCATGGTTGCTAAGTGGAAAGTCATGTAACCGTGACAGGCTTTCAACGTCATTTCCCATTCAGTCATTAAGCGAAACAACATGTGACTGCGACTTGTGATTTTACTTCCACATTTTCCATTAACTCTGCTTGGACGCTAAACAAGGCAGTTGGTGAGTAAGGACTACTATAGTGCCATATTTAGAAATGGAAATCACAGCCATTTAGCAAATGAAATGAGAGGGTCAAACATCAGTGTTATCATTTGGACCATCATATCAGCTAACGTAGAGTCAGAGTCCACAGGCCAGCACCAATACCTCTATCTCCCAGTAGTGATTTTTTTCACCTCTAGGCTTGCCCAAGTTTCATTATCTTTCATTATCTTCATTATTGAGATAGAGATAGCTCTATCTCAAGCTATCAGGGTTGACTACTGGCACTGATGGGATAGGTAAAAGGACTGCATGCATGGGCCAAAAGCTTGCTTATATTCTGCCCTATCAGGTCAAGAGATAATAACCAAATCAGGTTCTCTCTCCAGTTCCAAGTCTCCCTGTGTACATAATACATCTGACTGGGGCTGGTATGCAAGCTGACTTCTCTAGGTATTCCAGGGAAAGGTATTCCAGGACCTATTTTCCCCTAGGATACTTTCCATACTTACAATTAAATGTTATGCTGCCAAGTTCTGCTATGGCAGAGGATGGGAACTGAGTCTTACCCAAGGGCTAAATTAATTCTCCCCACAACATTCTGTGGCCTAGATGATATGAGGAGGAAGACCCCCCCACCCCCATCCTCAAAATCCTTATCTTTTCTTTTGGTCAAGTGGCTTCCAATCTTCATTTAACTGGAAAAAGCTGGCACTTTTCCTTTTAACACTGGGCTGCAGAAGAATCAGCAATTGCAATTGGTACACCTGTAAGAGCAGCTCACATTCAAATGCACATAAAGTTGCAGCCTTATTTGATCAGGAAGGATCCGAAATTTACCTTAAATTTTGTCTGATAGTTTAGAATTTCTGTGCTCAGTTGAAATTTGATAGTAGCTATTTCCTCTTTGCTGGTTTCTTGCAAACTCTTGGTTTGTTTCTCTGCCAATTCTAGCTGAGTTTGCAGGTCAGGTACAATGGCAGCACAAACCTTTGAATCTTTCAGTTTCTCTTGTAATTCTTGTTTCTCCTTACTGAATCTTGAAAACTCAAGCTGCAGCCTCTCTTGTTCTTTGATTGCTACTTCCTTGGTATCTCTGAGCTCCTCTGTGACTTGGGACAGCTTCTCTTCCACTTCCATCTTTTCAGTTGTCAGAGAGCAAATCTGAATACCCAGCTCAGCCATGTCCATGTTGGTTCTTTGAAGAAGGTCCTTATTTTCCACATTTTCCATGTTAACAACTTCCAAATCACTCTTCACCTTGGACAATTCATCTGTCAGGCACACCAAGTTCTTTTCCAGTTCAGCCTTCTGTTGGACTACTTGTTTCCATTCATTTTTCAGCATTTCCTCTTCTTCTTTACATTGAAGTAGTTCCTGCACATGGTTTCTGTTGAGTGCTTCGCTTTGCTCTTTCAGCTGCTGAGACAGTAATTTTTGCTCACTTAAAACAGTCTCAGTGACATCCAATTTGCCCTGCAGCTTTTCTTTTTCTCCAGCTGTCTGCTGAAGCTTGGCCTGAAATTCCATAATTTCCTCCTGGAGCCTAGATATCTCTGCCCGACTGATATTCAGCTGTTCCTCAGAAACAGCCAGTCTTAACATCAAATCTTTAGCTTCTCTCTCTGGACCAGATACCAATTCCAGTTGGGTTTTCTCTACAGAACTCTTTTCGGAAGTAAGAGATTCAATTATCTTTGCTTGATGAAGGTCATTTTTCTCAAGGTTTGCCTTGTCCATCTCAAGGGTTTCAGCTTTAATTTTATACCTCTCAGCTTGTTCTCGAAGCTGACTACATTGGCTCTCCAGGCCTTCTAATGCCTCAATTTTCTCTGTCAGCTGTAACTTCAGAGATTCTTCACCCTGCCTTGAAGAGAACAGATTTTTTTCCATCTGCAGGTTATGTTCTTTGGTATTCTGGAGCTCTGCTTGAAGTACACTTAAGGATTCCGCAGTCCTTTTTTCACTTTGTTTCAATTCTTGGTAATTAGCCTCCAGAGCCTTCAGTTTTTCATCTAAAAGTTGGTTCTGTCTTGTAGCATTTTGCAAGTTTTCATCCAACAGCTTGTTCTTTTCCTGAAGTGCCTTCTCCTTTTCATCCACAGATACCATGGCATCATCTATCTGACTCTGGAGCTGTTTCTCAGAGGCTCTTAATTGGGCAACTTCTCCTTCTAAATGTGATTTAGATACATCTAACTCTCTCCACTTTTCTTCTAACTTCTGATAGATTTGCTGCAGTTTTATGTTCTGGGATTTGAGGTTCTCATTTTCTTCACAGGAATTTCTCAGTGAGGAGCTTTGTTTTGTGACCTGCTGTTTCATTCCCTCTACTGTTGTTCTGAGGTGGTCTCTTTCCAAAACAACTTCCCCTTTTTGCTTTTCTAAACATTTTACCATGTCACTGAGTTTTGCCAGCTGCACTTCCAGCAACTCAAGATGCTCCATCAATTTTTTTATTTCTTGTTCCATTGTCATTTTTGTATGACTGAGTAGCCTCTCAAGTTCTGCCTTCTCTTTCTTTTCTTCCTGAAGCTTTTGTTCTAATGATTTTACACAATCCAGTGTATCTGCCAATTGGATTTGAAAATCAGCTACCATTTTGCCTTTCACTGCTAGCTCTTTCTGAAGTTCTGCCCTTTCAGCAGTCATGGTTTCCAGATTAATAAGCAATTTTTCAGATTCTTCCTTGGTGCTAATAGTGAGGCTTTTCAGTTTCAATTCAAATTCTTTCTGTTTCTCTTCTTTCACATGGAGTTGTTCTTCCATAATTTTAAGATGAGAAAGAAGTTCACTATGCAACTTCTGAGCATCAGCCTTCTCCTCTTCTGCCCAACAAAGCTTTTTTAATAACTCCTCAATCTTTAGTACAGACTCATATTGGCTAGTGGCCTGGTGATCCTTTTCATCCATAAGACTATTGGCTTTTGTTGCAAGGGCCTCAATTTTCTGCTCTGCAGACTTCAACTTAGCAGTAAGCTCAACAATCAAGAGATCTTTCTTGGCCAACAAGGTGTCTAGCTCTGGGTTCAAAAGAAGGATCTTGGAATCAGGGGCCTTTTTCAAGGACTCCAGGTTCTCAAGCCTTGCAGAGAATTCTTTCTGCTTCTCAGCTGCATTTAGTTCTAATGTCTGCAAACATTGCTGCAAATCCTGAGTGGTGTCCTGAGTACAGTGGGAGATCTGTTCTTCTAGCTCCGCTAGAATTCTTCTTAGCCTGGCATTCTCTTCTTCCATATTGCTGCTCTTCTCTCTTTCTATTTGCACTTGCTGCTTCTGAAGGCCAATGGCTGCCTGAAGCTCTTGTTTTTCTTCTTCCAAATGCTGGATTTGATCCCATAGCTCCTTCTGCTGCAGCTCTGCCTGATCAAGCTCCATGTGCAACTCATCAAGGCCTTCAAGAGATTCAGTGTTTAAAAAGCTATTCCCATTTGGGCTGGAAGGGTTCTCTTGAGCCTAAAAGGAGAGAAAGGACAGATCTGAGTTAGCAAAAAAGCTGTTTATAAAAGCCTCTTCAGTGGCTGGGGAATCCTTACAATAGTCAGATAAAGCAGATCAGCAGGGTTTTTTAAAATGATTATTACACAAAGTTACAGTGCAAATGAGGAACACACATGAATTCTGATAATTGGGCAACCACCTACAATAAAAGCATACTGGTTCTACAGTAATCCTTCACCTTTTTTTTTAAGGTGGTGAGGAAAGATGATGAATCACAACAGTGATGCTATTCATCAGAGTAGCTATCAGAGTAATAACAGCAGTACTACTTCCCTCATAAGAAAATGTAGTTTATACATTTATTGGCCCATACATTTACCTGCATGGAGCTGCTCATCAAACTGCTCATGCTTGAACTGCGGCTTGGAGGCTTCCACAGGTAAGCTGAGGACCCAAGTGAACATAATGTTCTCCTGAACATGGAAGAAGGATTTAAAAAAAAAAAGTTTTCAAGAATTTTCTCTTAGCAACTATCCACCTGTATCTAAACTGATAGATTTAAATTTATCTTCAGTTTTGGAACAAATGAACAATATCTAGAGAGGTGATCTAGAAGTTTACTGAGGACCTGGAGTTTTGTAAGATGAACTTGAAATTTGTTTATAATTTTAAGAGGGCTTCCTATTTTTATTCCTTCACAATTTTGAAGTAAATTAATAAGATATTAATCTAGTTTTGGCAGGATCACCCTTTACATTTCTTATTCCATAAATTACAGTTGTCTCTTAGGAAAGGTGATTTAATTCTCAACACTTTTGTGGTGATGTTGTGATACATGTTTCCTCACTTGCCCCCCATCTTCTTCTCTCCTGTGGAACCTGTGCATCAATTGCTTCTTTTGGTTTCTGCTACAACTTGGAATAGGAATTTCAGAATTCAGCTCTTCTGAATTATTAGGTGGCCCCTTAATTGGCCAAGTTTACTGGGATCCCTGTTTGGTTTAGAACTGAATATATGCACAGTGTTGCAATATATATTTTAAAAATATTGGGTGGTAGGTATATTTCTGATGGTCCTTCTGAAAGTCTGATCTGATCTGGAAATACTGGGAAATTGTGAACATTCAGTACTATTTGACAACTGATTCATATCAAAAAGCTTTAATACAGCCTGGGGCAAAAATGCTTTATTAAAATTATAGACTTTATAGAAGTTTTTCTAACAGTGGCAGCAGGTTTGCATTACCTGGCAAATGTGGGCCAACCAGCATCTAAATCATAGCCTCTTGATGCCAAATCAAACTGAATCTCAGTTAATTCATAGAGGTGACCAACAATATCAGAACTCAGCTTTGGATTGAGGAAGGGACTTCTTGCATAGTACCAGTCACTTTAAAAAATGAAGGAAAAAAGCAGTTTATATCACAATTCTCAGTAAGATATACAGTAATTATACTGTTGATGCAAATTCAATTAAATAATCACCACCACCAAGAACAAAAACAGCCATGATTACCTTGTTACTTTGGTATTCATAAAACACTGTTGCAAAGTGTCTGCAAGCCTTTGGTGCACTAAGGAGTAGCGGATAAATGCCCTGCCTTTACCAAGGGAAGTGCGGAGCTAAAAAAATAAAACAAAATTATAAAAAATAACTGATTTCTATTAGTATATACAGTACTTAAAGATCTGTAGAAACAATGTTCACCAAACCAGCAAGTCACAAGATAAAAGTTGTCTGGTTATGTAAATATTTGAGCAGAGCTGTTACCCAATGAGGTACTTACAACAAGCTCCTTTTTAGATAGAGCACAATGGGCCTGGGACTCAGACATGGAGGTAAACTGATCAGGAATGTCACAAAGCACTTTTTAATAGTGAATTGCTATTGTGTAGAGTGGAGGGAGGAGGGAGAATTAAGTAAATATTTAGACCAATGTTTCTCAACTTTGACAACTTTAAGATGTGTGGACTTCAACTCCCAGAATTCCTCCAGCCAGCTGGCTGGAGAATTCTAGGAGTTGAAGTCCACACATCTTAAAATTGCCAAGGTTGAGAAACACTGATTTAGACCCTGGGTTTTTTTGATTATTAACAAGATTCTGATACAGATATAATCCTAGAAACAATGGGAAGAAAGATTATGCACAAAGAAAACCAGGATGTGTGAATTTAAACATCTCTGCATTGTCTTTAAACAGAAGAGGGGGAATAGGCAAACAACTCCCCAGCGCAATCTTGCAGTTGTCCTTTTCGCATTAAATAACACCATGGCAAAACTAGTGATAGTTTAAATATCAAAACTGGGGAAAATTTAGATATTTGGCTGGATTTGGATGTTCACATTAAATCAAGAATCCTGGCTTAAAAAATTGAAAAGTAGTGTGCAAGCACAAAAAGCCTGTTTGGGCTTGCTTACTTTTCACTTCACATGGTCCAAGATTTTAAATCTCCATTAGTCCAGAGGAAAAGAAGAGAGCCAATGGTCAAAATTGCAGGGATGTAGACAAAACCTTAAGACAGACTTCTTAACAATTAGAGTGATTCACTGGAAAAGTTTAAATATAAGCTTTCTGCTAGGGATGCTGTGGTTGCAAGATTACTACACTAAGCAAAGGACACAGTTCCTTTCCCATTCTAAATTCTTGTGACTCTATAATAACATTAAGAGCCTTCTCATCTGAAGAGCAGGAGAGAAGTATACTAGGTCAAAAATAATATTCAGATTTTCCATCACCCACAGATCCAGTCCCAGTGGTATATTTACATCAGACAGAATCTGTTTGTAAAGGAGGGAGAGGGCATCCATTGGAATTGGAGGAATTCCAGGAAAGAGGCCACATAGGAGATTGGAGACTGTTCTCTGTGATCATGTTATTAAATCTTATGGATTACTCCAAAATCTTGATTGGAAGTGGAGTCAAGGCAGACAAAGGAAAACATGTCTTCATATCGTTAACTAATGGAATTCATGCTCAAACTATGTGGCTGTTAGTTAAAATGGCTTTAAAAGGTGAGCAGATAAATTCATGCAAGATTGACTTATTGAGAGAAATTAGTTATGACAACTAAATCAGTCTTCCAGGTTTAGAAATAATATGCTGGTGAAAAGTAGTTATGGGAAGCAGGGGGAATGTCAGGGCAAAAATGTATGCTTTAGGCACTGCTTTCCTGGACTTTTTTCTGATACAGTGAGGTTATTCATTCAAACTGGAAAGCTCTGAACTACAATATGAGGCTCCTGCTGCAGTACAGGTGTTACAGTTCCACTCCATATTTTTAAGTTTAATTATTTGGGAAGGTTTTCTTATAAGCTCTTATAGACCCAAATATTACTAGTATAGTCACCCTGATATGATAATACATACAGGGCATATGCAGTCCCCAGATCCATTTATGAGATCCTCAGTACTCCTCCCCAAGATCAGCTGCCAAAATTAGGCAGCAAAGGGCTATTTGTAGTAGCATGAGTTTTCTGAATGAATGGACTAAACTCTAAAACAGACATGTTCAGTTCTTGTATGGTTAACATTCTTCCCTATTCCTTGGACACCCACTGGGCCAAGTCCAAGAAAAAAAAGTCCTTTTTTTGTTGATTATTTTCTGAAAGAGGAAGTGAACCTGATTTAACATCCTTGAGTTGAGGAAGACCTCAAACAAAACAAATGTGGGTATGGTGCATAGATTCAGTAAGTGCAATGACAAGATTAGTGGTGATTCGATAGAAAACATACAAGAGGAACAAAGAGAAGCACAGTGACCTGGGTATTTTTTAAATGTATGAGTAAGTGCATGTTTTCTTGTTGCTTTCTGTATGAGATATTTCAGCCATACTTGGGCCCACATTCACAAGGACACATGTTCATACTGAATATGGATTATCAGAATTTGCTGGTTTTCATTAATGTTAGTAGTAGTGTTGATCCCTACACAGTTTTTTCCCCAGACAAGCTGACTGATTGATGCATTTGATCCATCGCCTCAATACCAGAAGCTTCTGGGCAGCTATTGGGTTAGCTTCTATGGCAGAGGGACAAAAAAGCACAGAGGGAACCAACATTGGTCTGCTTGTTGTCTAAAGGAAAGTGGATCTGAGATATTAAATACTTATACCATCCTTACATGCATTGTTGGACTAGCTCCCAGAAAGTTAGATTATACAGTTGCAATGGCAGAGCAATGTACTTCACTTACTTCTGGAATAGACTTGACAAAGCGAATTCCATCATTTGCACCTTTAACCTTAGCCAGACAGTCACAAAAGTAATCCCAGTAGTCCTTCCGATTGCCTAGTAAGGTGGATTTTTCCTTCTGGTCAAACTTTGAAACAGAAAAGGGAAATAGGTAGCTTTAAAGCAGTGATGTACAAAACATCAATTCTCATTTGTCAGAATTAAATGAATTAATACACGCTAACTTTTGGTATAGGAGCCTGTACCTCTTAATCATTTGAACTGAGGTGTGTTATCTAATAATGGCTATTTGTGATCTGTAAATAAACACAGCCACTGAGAATGGATCCTGCAGTTTTCTGCATGTTCCTGTCCTAAGTTCAATTTCTTGGTTACAGTTGAAATTCTGAGATTTTTTTTTTCAAATACAGCATTTGATTTTATTCAGTATATAATTGTTTTTCTATAAATAAATACTTAAAATTCACAATACCTCCCATTAATACTGATTTCCTTTGAGTGCTTACCTGCAAGAGGTACTCAAGCTTATAGGAAAACTTGTGCAAGATTATACAGTCATCTGTGATTGGTTCTCCTACTTCCAAAAATTCTTTGTTCAATTCTGTCACAGCATCTTTTGGAAAGAACACAAAGCATCATTTTTAGAGTGAATTAGGAGCAATAAACAACTGTACAATTGTCTCTTTTCCTCTGTGCAAAGATATTTTTTATCTTTCAGTGAAATCTTGATGAGTTGGCAATGTCACGTATTGGTGCAAAATAAAATACCACACTGAAAAAAATACAAAGGTTATTCTATTACAATTTGTTGTTGCACAGTTCCTTTATTTAACCCAAATACAAATTAATATAGTTTAGGGATAATTCAAATAACATTGTTTCCTTCTCTCTTCCGCTCTGGCAGAGATCCAGACTGATAAAACTAATGCACAGCACTAAGGATCCTAAAGGCTAGGATTATATGTACTGTATGTGACAATTCCATAGCAAAACAGATGCTGGCATAGAAGCTACAAAGTAATCCTTCACAATAAGTGGATAGTGTCTTTTGACATTTTAGAAAGTACTGTATGTATTTTATGTGTGTGTATGGATAGATAGATAATTATCAGTGGTTGAGAGTATGATGCCTATACCATACATAACACCCTTTAGAGAAGCAGAATAAAGTATTCAAAATTGTATAACTGTGTGACTAGATATTTTATCTCCTTTTATTCTGGAACATAGTTTTTCACAGAAAATACACTGTTCCCTATAAGATGAGGAACAACAGAAGAAATCTACAAGGCTTCAGATTACCATATAATACATATGTGAAACATGGGGAATTTATATGTGGGATTGCCTGTATATGAGAGAGAGAGAAAAAAATCTGCTAAAAGTGGTTGCAGTCCAAATCTCCCACCAATATTAATAAAAATAGATCTGTCTATCATTCTTGGAGTCCTACTAGTACATTTTCAAGGCTTTTTGATCAGGGAGAATGAGAAACTACCATTTAAACATTAAATAAGGTCTGAAACAGGATCGAAATCTTCCGACAATCAAGTGAGCACCACAGCAATTCTCAAAGCAACTAACAAAATCAGTTAGTTACTATGGTCAACTTGCTTAAAACTAAGCATACCAGCTGTGTAAATGTTCTCCATATTTGTCTGTAAGATTAATATCTGAGGTGGCTGGTGAGCACTTAAGTACTTCACAAGACAAGTGTAGAATTTCAAGAAGATGATAGTTGTAACACAGAGACATTCAGGAGTCTAGATTATCTTACTTTTTGTAACATGGGAATATTCCTGTTTTCCTATAAAGGGATGTGACATTCCTACAGGTATAAAGAAATGAATCAATAACCAAGTAACATTTTACCCTGCATATCCCGGATAATCCTCTGTAGCTGACTTTCACCACTACTTCTTGCCATTGCTGCAAATAAAATGTGGAGATTACTCTTTTCAACTTCTCACATGGCTAGGTGAAGAAGGGAGAGTTCATGCTGTCAGTAACCTTTAGGTTAGTGGCAACTAGTCATCTCTTCAGCATCTTTAAGTCTAGAGGAAAAAAATGTTTAGATTTACAATCACTAGCATACTAGTTTTTTAAAGTCATGTTTAATGTCTGCCTAGTTTTTTAAAAGTCATATTTAATGTTGTCTCCCCCCGCCCCAAAATTATGAGTTTCTCAAGACTTAGGGCAAGAATAGTCAAGGTTTTCAGCCCAGGGGTCTGCATTTTTAAAATGTTTAACTATTCGGGCTTTTGAGGGGTCCAGGAAGCATATTTCAAAATGTGGTGACATCATAGGAGTTGGGTCTTTTTCATTTTTTTAAAAGTTTGGGGTGGGTTAAAAACTCTAGGTAGGTGTGTACCCATTTAGCACCTTCTGGGGGAAGAAACAAACCAAAAAAATCACTGAAAATTAATGGTATCATAAATTCAGTTTGGGGACTATGACAAACCCAGGTAGGGAGAGAGACAATTCCTGTAAGCAAGGCTTCTATTGTCAAAATGTTTCCAAAATAGATTTAAATTCAAAACTGAGATTACAGCCTTTGCTTTATCTTCTTAGATAACTTACTCTATATTTCTTTGAAAACTTATTACTGAAGCCTAAGTCTACCTTAGTTGTATCTTAACTCTATCTTCCCTACTATTCATTAGGCATGCCCTATTTCTACACTACTTCCGCCCACCCCAGCCAGCCCTGCCCAAAGTCACTTGTATGGTGTTACAGCATTAGAGGTCTGGTTAAGAGCTGATGTTTGCACTTGCTGATAGGTAGGCCACTGAAGTCCTGGCAATTTCTTTTCTTGGTGTCTGATGCAGAGACCACAGGCCACTCCAATTGTTCCTGCCAGTGCCTTGGGTCTCCTTGTTGCACTGTCAGTGCAGTCCTCCCAGATGCAAATGCCTGGCTCTGTATTTGCCATTGTTCTGGGATCCACTTTATGTTGCCAGCACTCTGGGCCTGTTCAGGGTACCTGCTAATATCCCGGGCTCCAATTTGGTGCAGCCAGTGCCTTGAGTCTTGGGACAGACTTTGTAGAAGCCAGCCTGAGGTCTACCTCAGTGGGTTTGGTTGGGAGCGTCTGAGTTTCCTGAGATGCCTTGCCAATGCAGCCCTTGTTGACACTGCCCTCATCTTGCCACCAACCATCCATCTCCTGCCACTACTGCTTGCTTCTCCAGCTGCCATTGTCTTTCTGCCCCCCCCCCCCCCCCCCCTCTCTGCTTTCTGCTGCTGCCTGCTATTGCCAACAAGTTCTTCTGCTTTCCCTGCTGCTGCCATGACTCACTACAGTACTCTGCCCTCCACCTTCAAGATTTCAGCTTTGGCTTTCCGATATTTATTTCTTCCTTTTTATTTTTTGTTCCTCCAGCTTTCTTTTTAAAGATTCAGCTCTCTTTTGCAGTACGGCAGGGTCCTTAACAGGTGCAGGTAGGGAGAGGTACAGATGCTCTTGCTGTTTGTTAGCCATCTTCTCACAAACAGGTTTGCTTTTGCACTGCAGTGGTGAGATCTGCAGGAGCTCTGGAAGATACAACCTGGAGATGGGAGTTGTATGCACTCCAGGAGTTATTTACCTCAGATTTAGGATACTGTGATTATTACCCAAGAATTATAACTATATACATACATGCATGTAGTCAAAGTCCATCTTCCAGTGGTGGGCTTGGCTAGAGCCAAAGTAGACAAAAGTAGAGATGTAGAACTTAGTTTTACTCAGTACGCAATGAAGAAAGGAGAGAGTTTGACATCAGGGAATTTTCCTTTCTAACCTTAACCTCCCAACCTCGGGGGGGGGGGGCAGGCTGAACATTTTTAGCCCCCTTCCTTTTTTTTG